GCACCCCCCGCACCGCCCGCTCGGGCAGCGCCCGCGCGTTCCCGCGGCCCCGGGGGCGGGCGCGCGGCCGGCTGCAGCCTTGGCTCAGCGCCCCCCCCACCCGGAGCCGGAACCGCCATATAAGGAGCGGGAGCCTCCGCCGGAACCGGGACTTATAAGGCCGTTCCCTTATATGGAAAGTGCGGCGGGGGTTTCCGGCGGCGCCGCCGCGGCCGGCGGGGGCCGGGGGACCCCGCTCCCCGGGGCCGGCGGCGCTGCCGAGGCGCTGCGGAGGCGCTGCCCGCGGCCGGGAACAGCCCCGCACGGGGCGCGGGGCTCCCGGCGCGGGGCGGGCGGGGCCCCCCGGCCCGGCTTTCCCCGGTGCCAGGCGCTGACGCCAGGCGGGGTCCTCCAGGCCGCAACCATATAAGGGCTTCCTGCTTTCCATATATGGCCATGTACGTCATGGCCGGGGCGGCGCGCGGCCGGTGAGACCCGATATATAGGGGCGGTGTTGGGGCGGGCGGGGAGCCGAGCGCTTCCAGCGGGCACAGCCGGGGGGAGCCCCGGGCGGGCGGGCGGGGAGCCGAGCGCTTCCAGCGGGCAGCGCCGGGGCCACCGCGGCGCGGGGCGCACAGCAGGCGACGGCCGCCTCGCCGCAGCCGGCCCGTCCGCCGGCCCCGCGGCGGCAGCGCCATCGCCATCACCCGTCAGAGCCGGAGCCCCGCGCCCTCATGGCCGCGGCCAAGGCGGAGATGCAGCTCCTGCCCCCGCTGCAGATCTCCGACCCCTTTGGCGCCTTCCCGCACTCGCCCCCCGCCATGGACACTCACTACCCCAAGCTGGAGGAGATGATGCTGCTCGGCGGCGGGGGCCCGCAGTTCCTCGCCCCGCCCGGGGCGCCCGAGAGCGGGGGCTTCGGCGCCGCCGGGGAGCCCGGGGAGCAGCACTTCGAGCACCTGGCGGCAGGTAAGCGCGCTGACCCGGCCCGGGCGGGCGGGGAGTCCCGGTCCGCCGCGGGGGCAGCGGCGCCTGCGGGAGCTCCGCGCTGCAGCGGCGCCCCCGGTCCCGGCGGCCGCGCGGGGGGATCCTCCTGTTTGCGTCAGAGCTCCGGACTGGCTGCGGCTGGAGCGCTGCCAGCGGCGCTGCAATATGTTACGCTCAATTAGTGATTAACCAGAATCTGGGGCTGCGCTGCGCTGGGGATGGCTCGCGAAGCTCCGGCAGCGGCTGCGGTGGCTGCTGGAAGTAATCGCTGTTCCTCTCTTTTCAGACACTTTTCCCGAAATCTCCCTGAACAACGAGAAAAGCCTGCCAGAAACCAGCTATCCCAACCAAACGACGCGGCTGCCGCCGATAACCTACACGGGGCGCTTCTCCTTAGAGCCGGCCCCCAACAGCGGCAACACCTTATGGCCAGAGCCTCTCTTCAGCCTCGTCAGTGGGCTGGTGGGCATGGCTAATGCACCTCCCACCTCGACGCCTACTTCATCATCGCCGTCCTCCTCCTCGCAGAGCTCCCCACTGAGCTGCTCAGTCCAAGCCAGCGAGAACAGTCCAATCTATTCAGCTGCACCAACGTTTCCCAATTCCAGCTCTGACATTTTCCCTGAATCGCAGACCCAGTCCTTCCCCAACCCCTCTGGAGCCCCCATCCAGTACCCACCTCCAGCTTATCCGACTGCTAAAACCAACTTTCAGGTGCCAATGATCCCGGATTACCTGTTCCCTCAGCAACAGGGAGAGCTCAGTCTTGTTCCGGCTGATCAGAAGCCCTTCCCAGCCCTGGAGACCAGAGCACAGCAGCCTTCCCTCACGCCACTGTCCACTATTAAGGCATTTGCTACTCAGACTGGTTCCCAGGAGTTGAAGACCCTCAACACTAACTATCAGTCCCAGCTGATCAAGCCCAGCAGGATGAGGAAATACCCAAACCGTCCCAGCAAGACCCCTCCTCACGAGCGACCCTACGCCTGCCCCGTGGAGTCCTGTGACCGGAGGTTTTCCCGATCCGATGAGCTGACGCGGCACATCCGCATCCACACGGGACAGAAACCTTTCCAGTGCCGCATCTGCATGCGGAACTTCAGCAGGAGCGACCACTTGACCACGCACATCCGCACGCACACAGGGGAGAAGCCATTTGCCTGTGACATTTGTGGCAGAAAGTTTGCCAGGAGTGATGAGAGGAAGAGGCACACTAAAATCCACCTTAGGCAGAAGGACAAGAAAGTGGAAAAGGCAGCTCCAGTCTCAACTGCTTCCCCAATTCCTGCCTATTCATCCTCTGTGACTACATCCTACCCTTCCTCCATCACCACCACTTATCCCTCACCAGTGCGCACAGTGTATTCCTCTCCTGCTCCGTCTTCCTATCCGTCCCCTGCACACACCACATTCCCCTCCCCTTCTATAGCAACCACTTATCCCTCTGGCACTGCCACTTTTCAGACCCAAGTGGCCACCTCCTTCTCATCTCCAGGGGTCACCAATAATTTCAGCTCTCAGGTGACCTCAGCACTTTCAGACATGAACTCAGCCTTTTCTCCAAGGACAATTGAGATCTGCTGAGATGACCTTCTGGAACAGGAGAATTTACCTTTTCCATTGGTATTATCAGACATGGAGTCTCCAATTACTCCCCCAACACCATACGTTGCAAGGCTATTTAACTTTAGTTTAAACTTCAGCTGCCTGAAACAACTGCTGCTTAAGTTTTCCACCTCTGTTGAATGACTTAATTTGCATGGACTGTGGATATAAGTTCAATATAATTTTCCCCGTAAACAATAGTCTTTTATTAGGAAGAAAGGACTTTTGATTAAGTATCTAGCTGATGTAAATTGTACATGTGCCATGGTTTTGCTTTCCTTTAGGGTACTATTGATGTGGAAAAAAAAATCTTTGCATATTCATATTGTATTATTTGGAGTTTGCAGGGCCATATTTTGTAAATGTTAATTCTATTTCAGTGACAATGCTGTAACGCGTTTCAAACTTCTTTGGGAACAGCACTTACTGTATTTGAGCATGTTAGAGTGATGCTGTGTAAATATCATCTGATGAGACACTCACATGTGGCAGAAGTTTTGTTTTAAAAGTTAAAAGTCTTGGTGCCTTTTTGTGAAGCCTTGCTGACGTCATGCATTTGTGTGAATGGATGCTTTGCATCTTGCCTTAAAGTGAAAGGGATGTTACTCAAAGAATGTAAAGGAAAGCAGGGAATGGGTGGGGAGAGGAGCAGGAGAAAGGCCTGAGGGATGGAATGTAAGCAAAAAAAAAAAAAATCCCACACCTCTCAAAGTCTATTTTTGTTACAAAAATGTAAATTTATATATATATTCAGGAGTTGGAATGTTGTAGTTACCTACTGAGTAGGCAGCAATTTTTGTATGTTATGAACATGCAGTTCATTATTTTGTGGTTTATTTTTACTTTATAATTGTGTTTGTTAAAATGAAAGTGACTGTTTGGCTTCTAAACACATTGAATGCGCTTTCCTGCCAATGGGATATTTGGTGTACAATACCCTTCAGAAAAAAATAAATAAAATATCAAGTCGTGCAGACTTCCACGTTTTCCTTTAAGTTACTACACAGGAAGACTGTGCCACAGCAATCCTGACTCCCTTAGTGGCTGCAAAGCCACAAATGCTGCTTGTCTCCTGGAAAAATACCTGTCTAAAGAAAGGAGATCATTCTCATGTCCAGTCGCTTGCAAAGGCTTGGATGGAGCACCCGCATCCTTGCATTAGGTGCATTACCTGCTCTTTTGAAGTAGCCATGATTGCTGTTTTCTGGCTTCTCCAGAAGCATGTGAGCTAATCTTGGGAAGAAAACCGACTCTTCCAGTGCTGAAAGTTAAGGTAGAAAATTAGAATCTCAACTGTGTTTGTAGGTAGCCAGAAATCATACTGGGTGGGAAGATAATAGAGCAGTTTTAAGGCTGGAAATACAATAAGCTCAGTCATAATGGCTGGTTGACAGAAGGTGGCCCTGCTCAGCTGAGGGCTGTCGCGAGTTCCTCTTTGACACAACACAGGGCATGTAAATGTGTGGCCCTGTCAGACTTTATTACAGCTGTGTCAGTATTTGTAGGAGAAAACCCTTCCTTAGGGGATGGTTTGAAATACATTCCAGGGGTTATGTGGCCACTGCAGACTGAAGTCAGAGGAGTTTCATCCCTGAGAACTAGTGGTGCAGGTACAGAACAGGGTTCTGGTGTCTGTCTTTTCTGGTGGGCTCTCTACAGATCACTGGTGTTTAGGGTTGTGAGTCGCTGGGATACACGCTATTTTCATGGCCTTCATCCCATAAAAAGCGAGCAGATTGCCGGGCTGGGAAAGCACCGACCGCGCGTTTTCTGCGGGATCTCCCGTTGGCCGGTGGCCCGAAGACAAGGACATCCGATTCTTAAAAAGTTCTCTTCTAGTCCAGCTGGGAGGACGAGCCGGTTCCAAAGAGGCTGTTCCCAGGGAACCAGCAGGTGCTGCCACCGACCGGGGGAAGCCCTTTCCCTGCGGGAAGCGCAGCGCGGGGGGAGGGAGGGAAGAACCTTTTTTCCCCCCACTCACGGGCAGGAACCGCGCTCGCCCGAGTCAAAGCCCGGCTGCCGGTGATCTAAAGCTGTCGGCGATCCAAAGCTGTCGGCGATTCCAAGCCCCGGCTCCGACCCGAGCGGGGGCCCCGCGCGCGCACGCGGCTCTCGGGGGCGCGCCCGGGCCCCGTCACGCGGCCCCGGGCGGGCGGAAGCGCCGCGGCCGCCGGAACCGCGCGGGCCATATTTGGCTCTTCCTGAGCGGCCTTTTATGGCACTTCCGAGGCCCAAAAAAGGCGTTTCCTGCCCCGGCCGTTCCGGGGCCGCTCCGCGCAGCCGCTGCGGACCCTGCGGAGACACCGCCCCCCCCGGGCATGGACCGGGAACGGCCCCGATCCAGCCCCGGGAACGGCCCCGATCCAGCCCCGGGAGCGGCCCCGATCCAGCCCCGGGAATGGCTCCGATCCAGCCCCGGGAATGGCCCCGATCGAGCCCCGGGAATGGCCCCGATCGAGCCCCGGGAGCGGCCCCGCTGCGGCCGCTGTCCCGGGCTCCTGCCGGTCCGTGTCGGCAGCAGGGGCCGAGTCGCTCCCCCCGAAAGAGGTAGGATGCCCGCCTGACGCCCCTGCAGAGCCCGGGGACCGTGTCCACCAGGACCTTCCCCACCCCGGCTTCTCCTCTGCGGGGCCCTTCCACGAGCGACTCTTCGCCTGGACGGTCCGAGCCCGGGCGGCTGCTCTGTGCTTTATATGCACCGGATAAAAATGATTATTAGGTTTCCTTTCCCTTTAGAAATAAGGAGCTAAAAATCACTTAAGGCATGCTTAAGAGCCCAGTGTCTCCTGTGGGTGTCCCGTTGCGTTGTGTCCTGTTGTTCTCTGGAAATGCCACTGGAGGCTCTCTATAAAAAGTGGTGAAATGCGGCTGTTACAGGTATTTCTGTTGAGACTGAGAATTGCTCTGACCAAGTAGGTCACTGGCCTTGACTGAAGAGACGAGACTTAACGAGGAGTGGAGAGACTTCTCTGCAGGCAGAGACTGTAGTGAAGAGATACGTGACCGCGGGTCCTCCTTTCCTCCGGGGCTCCCACTGGTGCAGGTCCAGACCACAGGGGTGATTTTGTGCATCTGAGCAAGACCTCAGGTGACCCTAGAAAAAATAACTTTGTAGACTCTGAACTAGTATCGGGGGGAGTGAAGGTGGTCTGAGCTGCAGCAGATGGCCTTGAAGGGCTACCCCCAAGCAGAGGTTCACCACTGTCAGGTTTGACTAAAGCTGGATGCAGTGGGTGAAGGCTGGCTCATGAAGAGTGTCTTTGACCCCTTCTAAACCAAACTGTTAACTAGGGCTGAACTTCTCCAAACTCTTCACTAGGTCTAGGGTATTTCTTGATTTTTTTGGTATAAGTGGCTGTTTATTTCAAAATTTTTTCTGTTTTTGACCCAGTAGACTCAGGAATCCCCCAGAGTTATGTGTGTAGTTAATGTATTTATGAAGAGGGCTTGGCTGTGGGATTTTTGAGCTAAACACTCCCATGTTTTTACCCGTGTACATCATCTTAATGTAGCCCTAACAAATACTAGTTAGACCTAGAAAAGAGATTACATGCTTTAAAGTGCACTGAGACTCTAGGATGAAATATGAGCTGTATCTAAAGAACAAGAACTTTTATAATAGTTAAGTTTTTTTGCTACAATCAAAGTGACTTTGTTTTTAAAAATCAGCCTTGACTGATAGACTTTAATGATTTATGGTCTTGACTTGATGAATGAAACTCTCTCTTCCAAATAGCTGAGGCTGATGCTTATACATATTCTCTGGCACTTTGCAGGGTTCAATTTGTGATCATTGTTTGGCACAGTCATAATGAAAATGATGGATGGTTACGGAGGAGTATTTCTAATGTTTATATTTCAAAAGCATCACTAAAGTATTCTTCTTGAACTTTTTTTTTAATAAGCATATAGGCTCATCTTTTTCTTTTGTGAGCTTTTCCTACTACTTTTTTGTATCTCCAAACGCCAATGATGTTACACAATGATGCCACCAATAAACGTTGATACTTGAAAGTTCTGGTCTCCAGTGTCCTCTGTTAGGTTGACCTGAGGAATATGAGCTGACTTCTGCTATCCCAAGTGCTTTGACAGTGGCCTTCTCCTCTAGCAATAAAACTGTTGATCACAAATAGACTTGTGAACATCAGAGTTGGAAGTTTGATTTGAGACAGAAGTTTGATTTGATGGGTAAAAGGCAGTGAATGCCTTCAGTCTTTTGCTAAGACGCAGTTAAAACTTTTAAGCAGACTGAGCATTACTTGTTATCTGTCAGTGGCTGTTCTCCAATCTGACAAGGTTAGCTGGGGATGGCTTTAGAAGCTCTTGAAATCATGTTACGTAATGAATATGTAAAATGTGTTTATCCAAATTGCTGCACTCATTTGACTGCACAGGTGTGTGTGGCTCTCAGGTTATCGACCTGAATGTGCCCAGCTATGGAGCAAGTCACTGAACTTTCTGGTGCATTCCAACACGTGACATTCTGTAAGCTGAGTGCATGAACTGGAACTGTGCTTCCAGGTTTGCCTGCATTTACAGGAATTCTAGTCACAGCAGCCTTGGGGAACCCTCAAAGTACTGTAAACACACCAAAGCTCACACAAAGTCTGAGCTTTGACTTCTTAGCCAAAGAAGTGTCATTAAGCTACAGAGTGAATGCATTCAGTTTTACCATTTTTAATGGTTTTGACTCTGTTTGTCATTGGAATACCCGAAAGAACACTGGAACAGAAGGAAATGAAGGGCCAGACTCGATGAGGAAATCTTATTACAAATTTCCTAGAACAAAATGTCAACAGCGGTTCTTAGAATACTGTCTAGAACGTTTCTTCCTAATTAATCAGGGAACTAGAGTTGGAAACATGACAAAGTTGAAGGAAATGTGCAGCAGTAGCATTTTGTTCTGAAGATACTTGTGATTAAAGGTCTTGGCCACGATTTCTAACTTCTGTACTCTCAGGCACACACAGCCAAATGGTAGTAGGTGAAAGAAAGAGTTATGCTCAGAGTTCTTTTGTGCAGGCTTTAGAGATTTCTGATCATTTCTCAACTTTAGGGAGAGCAGCTTGTGTCATACCCGGATCCGAGCTGTTTGGCTCCATCAGAGATGGCGCCAGCAGGCTTTAGATATCCTGTGCTGCCACCTTATGTCTGGAAACAAAACTGACTTGGATGTTCTTACCAGGAAATACTTACGTTAATGCTCAAGTGACCTTGTAACTGTAGCTCTAGTCTTGAGTATGAAAACAATCACATCAAGTTATGCAGTTTCGGTTCCTTTGATTTTCTTCAGGAATCTGAGACTAAGCTTCTTGGTGGGTTTGGGGGGTTGGGCTTTTTTTTTTTTTTTTTGGGTTTTTGTTGTTTTCAGTTTGTTTGTTTTTTTTTTTTATTGGTAGGAGAGCAGTGGTGTTCTCCTCTCCCCATTTGCTTGTGTTTTTTCTTCCTCCTTCCCAGTTCCTCCCTGAACTCACAAGGAGTAGAAAGCTGTTTTATTTTCTAGCTCTGGGTGCCTGGAGACAAACACTGGAATACATATCTTTGGAGCATAACATAAAGAACATGACTTACATCTAGAAGTTTGTAACTTCTATTTTCTGATGATGCTTTTCATGGTTCATTCCTGCTGTCGGTTGGCAACAGCCAGAATGCTCTGTGAGGGCAAACTCCACACTTGTAGATTCTTGGCAAAGGATAGAATAACTCACAAGTGGGGTCTGGAGTGAAAATAGTTCTGTTAAAATAAGGCAAAGAATACAATAAATAAAAATGGGCATCCTTTTTATGTATGAAATAAGTAGGAATAAAATGCTAATAAATAGGAATAAAAAAAGGCACTTTTTCATTTTATTTGCTGACATCTCTCATTTTTTTATACAAGAAACCCCCTGTAGTGAGTAATCAGAACAGAGGTGTGAAAGCGAGGAGCCTTTGACTTCCACAGTGCGCTTAACTTTCCTTTTCTCCTCTCTTTCAGGACAGGAAAAAATCATTTAATTCAGCCCAGCGATGTCAAATGCTTTGGTGTTTGAGCAGCCAAACTCAAGAGCCTCCAGACCCATGAGCCTGCATTGGAGGAAAATCCACTGGAGCAGCCAACACTACTTCACCTCCATGGACAACCCTCTGGGTCTGGGCAAATGCAGCCTCTGAGGGAGGGCAAAAAGAGCAGGACCTCGGCCTGTGAGTGTCTGAGAAATAAGGGAGAGACAAATGTACGGATCATCCTCTGCCTCAGGGGACCAGGAAAAGCCAGTGACTAAAAAACTAAAATGCTGCTCCACAGGGAGCCCCTGCACAGGACTGAACTTTATTCTGTGCTTCCTGTCAGTTCCCAATGAGCCCAAGTCTGCAGTCTGGGTCATGCAGGACTTGAGGTATCAAGTACAAACTCTGAGGATGTTTGTGAATTAAGGTGGTAGAACTTAAAGTGTATTGTTTACTTTTTAATTCCTCAGAATTTCCATGGTATTTGATATTAAATACCTCAGAGGGGTCTATCATCCTTGGGGATGGGAGAGTTCTGGCTGCAGTTCCCATCTCCCTGCAGGCCAAAGCTTGGTGTTCCCTGTGCTCCAAAGGTGGTGGATGGAAAGGTTGGAAATGCTGTTGGCACAGGCCCTGCTCAGCCTGGGCTGTGACTTTCCATCTTTCCAGCTCTTCTGTCCCTTCCCTTGGATTTTCCTAGGAGCTGTGATGTGCCACGGGCAGCCGAGATGGCCAATGCCTCCCTTAGTCCCAGAGTCCCCAGGATGGAACACAGAGAAAATAGCAGGAATATGAAAATTTCATGCACTGAGAGTTTGTGGTGCTCTGGATCAAATCTTGGATTTATAATGTTAAAGGAGAGGGTGGGGTTGGGCAGCACTTGGCTGTTTTGGGGCTTCTCTCTCTGCCTCCTTGTCATTATTGTTCTTATCACTGCTATTGTTACTATTGTTAGTGTTATGTATTATCATGAATATTAAATTATTGTATTTTTCTTGGTTTCCATCATTAAACTATTCTGATCTCTCCCGACGAGCTGGATTTTTTCCTTTGATCTCTTCCCCACCTCACTGCAGGGGGGGCTGGTGCCCAACTGCTGGCTGGGGTTCAACCATGACTCCGGGGCAATTCTGGGGGCTCAGAACCAGACTCACTCGGTCGGTTTTTGGGCTCCCACAGAGAGATCCAGTGCTGCGTTCGGACGGCTTGGAACTGAGCCCGAGTCCTGCGATTCCGGGCTCATAAGCAGAGAGCCTGGTGCCACGTTTGGGGGGCTCAGAACTAGGCTCACTTGGTCAGTTTTTGGGATCACAAGGAGACACCAAGTGCTGTGTTTTGGAGGCTCAAAATCAGGCTTAGAGCTTAAAAACATAGACTAAATCCTGCGTCCCGGCTGCGGGACGGGCGGGAGGCGGCGCCGGGCCGGGCGGGCGGTGCTGGCGCGGCGCGGCCACCGGAGGGCGCCGCTGGGGCGGGCGGGGCGGGGCCGCAGCGCTCGCCCGGTGCCCGCGGGACCGGACGGAGCCCGGAACAGACCCGGTACCGACCCCGGAACAGACCCGGTACCGACCCCGGCACCGACCCGGCACCGCTCCGGCCCGCGGCCGCCCCGCCAGGGCAGGGAGCGGGTCGGCACGGACACGGTAAGGGCGAGGGGTCGGGTCCCGCCGGCTGCGCGTTTGGCTCCCCCGCGCCCGTCCCGCGCGGTGCGGTCGCTGGGTCGGGGCTGGTCCCGTTGTCCCCCCGTCCCGCCGGCGGAGCGAGCAGGGGGCTCGTCTGCCGGCGGAACCTCCGCGGTTCAGGAGCAGGGGACAGGCCCGGGCATGTCCCGGGAGGCGGCGCCTGCGCGGCCCCGCCGTGCCCCGCACATCCCCCGCACATCCCCTGACATCCCGGGAGTCACCCGCGGCTGGGGATAACCCGGGAATCACTGGGGCTGACCCCGCCTGTGCCCGGCCGTGTGCCTTTGCTTTAGAGGCGGCTGTAACTCGGTGAGTTTTCCCCCGTTCGGCTGCTTGACACGCTCGCGGTGTTTCGTTGTTGCAGATGATCGACACCCTGGCGAGCACCGAGGCCGAGGAGCTGCTGCTCCAGCTCTCGGCGCTGCTGGAGCAGGAGCTGCGGGCTCAGCCCAAGCCCGCCGGGCTCAGGCTGGTCGAGGCTGCTCACGACAATGGCCTCCGAATGACTGCCCGGCTGCGGGACTTCGAAGTGAAAGACCTGCTCAGCTTAACTCAGTTCTTTGGCTTCCACACGGAGACGTTTTCCCTGGCTGTGAATTTCTTGGATAGATTCTTGTCCAAAATGAAGGTAAGGCTTTTTAAAGTATAATCCCTCAATCGTTAGTTCCTGCTCATTGCGTTAGAACATACTGGGTTTAGATGGCTAAAGGTTTAGCTCCTTCCAGAGATTCTGATTGCACCAGGTGTTCCCTGTTCAGATTTTAGTATTCTTAAGAAAGCTGTTTCCTCTGGAGAAGACAAGGAATGGGGCATCAGTGTCAACTTCAGGATGCCCATAGGCTGGGAAATGCAGAGCATCTAATGGGTTAGACCAAGACAGACTGTCTTTCCTGTCGCATGGATACAAGAACATCTTAAATTACTTCTTATTTAACTGCCTTTTCAACCTGCCTGTGTATATCAAGATGCTGTTCAGCACTCAGAGTCTGGTGAAACGTCAGTTAGCACTCCATTCTCCTGTGCAGAAGTGACATGCTGACCTGGGTTGTTTTTAATTGTCTGACAAGACAGGATTACCACTGTACAATCTGGACAAGAACAAAAGCTTGTTTTCCTTGTGTGTTAAAACAAAAATGAGAAAGCTGGATGGGAAAATGATGATTTGAAAGACTTCTGAATCCAAAATAAGCAGTAAAAATGTGGACTGCAATGTCTGTGAATAAATCTATCTATATATGTACATATATATATGTGTGTGTATATATATTTTTTAAAAGAGTTAGAAAACTCCAATTTTTTTTGTATCAATATGTACAACACTTAAAGTCCTAAAAGCTTTTGATTAGGCTATTATAGAACCTCATTAAGAAACTAGTTCTACCTCAATCAAAATATATTGTTCTGCAGTCTTGCTTTTTAGATGAATGAGGTGGAACTTGTAGTGTGTAACTGTCTTCTTCTTTGGTTAAATAAAAAGAATATAAGGTAAAAGACTTAGTTCTCAATCTCCAAAAAACAGAACAGCCCCCCCTACCTCCCATAATTTTTTCCTACAATACATTGGTGCCTGCAGTTTGGTACTTACATGTTGTAATGGCTGATCAAAGGCCTTCCTCTCTGAAGGTAACAACAATTAATTTTTCTTTAGGTGCAGCCTAAACACTTGGGCTGTGTTGGACTCAGCTGCTTCTACTTGGCTGTGAAGGCATCAGAAGAAGAAAGAAATGTGCCCTTGGCCACTGACTTAATTCGGATAAGCCAGTACAGGTTCACTGTTTCTGATATGATGAGAATGGAGAAAATCATATTGGAGAAGCTGAGTTGGAAAGTGAAAGCTACAACAGCCTTCCAATTTCTACAGCTGTATCATTCACTCGTTCACGACAATTTAAGCTGTGAAAGGTAAAATAGCTAATACTAATTTTGCTCTTAACTGCATATGATCAGGAAGCCTATGCAGAAAAATAAGGGAAATTGCTTAAGTAATTGGCCTTTCTATACTTTAAAAATCCCACAAACTTTTCCCTTTATTGGTAAATATCATAAATGTGAGTATGTGTGGTTTAATATTATTTTAAACATTGTTTGCATAAATTGATCTAAAGAGTATTGCTCTCTGAGCTGAAAACCAAACTTGCTCAGTAATGATGGTATAATGAATCTCTGCTTATGCTGCATTAAAGTATTGCCTTATTGCAAAGATTGCAAAATCTGGCTTAAAAAGATTCCTTTTGCTAGTAAGCACTAAAATTCCCTGTTGTTAAACCTGTTTTGACACTGCAACTCTCCCCAGCGTAACACAACATTTATTTTTAGCACTAGGACTGCCAGAGCTGAACACCTGTTTGACTGTAACCCTAGAACTTTTGGGACAAACGAGGTCTTTGTTTAGATAATGAACATTGTTGCTGCTTCTGTGAGTTCCCAGGGTGATGCTGCCGTGCTCAAACTTGCATTTTTCTACATTCACTCGTCTGTTTTTATTCTAGGAGAAAGTACCTTAATTTTGAGAGACTTGAGACTCAGCTTAAGGCCTGTCACTGCAGAATCATGTTTTCTAAAGCCAAGGTAAACATCTTGAAAGTTCAAAGACAGTGAAACTACTGAAACTTAACAAAGCAGTGTTCAAAAACGTTGTCTCTCTCTCTCCAGCCTTCTGTCTTGGCACTGTCTATTATGGCACTAGAGATAGAAGAACAAAAGCTGCTGGAGTTGACAGAGGCATTGGAATTTCTGCAGTTGCATTCCAAGGTATGTACACACAAAGTTTCAGGGGAGGACAGAATTAAAATGCATGCAAGGGTCTACACAGTGGGGAAGGGGCAGGTGCATTGTCATAGTGGTTTCTTTTCTGTCTTTGTTGTGGTGTTTTGTTGTTTTTTTTCCATTTGGCCTGGGATATTTGGCCAAATTTTAGATGAAGAAGCTGGAAGTACATGTATGAAATAAGGATTTAACTAGTTATTAATGACAGAATCTTTTCTGTCTTGCTGTTTAGATAAACAACAGAGATTTGACCTTCTGGAAGGAACTGGTTTTAAAGTGCCTTACAGAATATTCCTCGAGCAAGTGCTCCAAACCAAATGTCCAGAAATTAAAGTGGATTGTGTCTGGACGTACAGCACGGCAGCTCAAACACAGCTACTACAGAATAACACACCTTCCTACCATTCCAGAGACCAGCTCATAAAAGGTAACTCCTTGCAAAATCGACTCCTGATAATGTAGAAGTAATTAGCTGTTAACTGCCTTGAAGTTTCTTATTCCATGTCGGTTACCTCATGGAAAATGTGTAACATAAACACAGTAGGCCTGTCTTAGAGGCAGGTCTGTTCTCGTGTTCATGCTTGAGCCACTGCTGTACCTAAAGAAGTGACAACCTAATATATGAACACTGGAGAACTCATCCTCTGGTGTGCTGTTGGAAGCAGAAATGTTCTGTAGACATTGGGACCTCATTCAAACTAAAATTTGGAGTAAAGCTGGTAAAAAGGCAGAGAAAAAACTCGACTTGCTCCTATTCTAAAAAAAAAAAGTAAAATCAGCCTGTTAGGATGAGTTTCTTGTAATTGTTCACTTAAACCACTTAACAAGGAAGACAGTTTTAATACCCTTTTACTGTTCAGTAAAGTCTAAAATCTGTAATTCAGTCATTCATGTTACTGCAGTTTTACTCTGTAGAAACTGTGAACTACTTCCTTACCCAGACTTCAATTGCAGAGGCTACACCTTTCCTGCTGTATTGCTGTTGTCTTGCTGCATTAAGATCTTATGTTTTGTTTGGCTCTTGTAGAAAGCCCTTCAGTTGACTGGTTTGTTTGTTTTTACAGGAGTACAATAAAATGAAGGAAAAAACATCCTGTGACCTTGTCAACAGGCACATGAATACCTGAGAAACAAAGTCTGAACCATGATCTTAGTAATGAAGAACTCAACTCATGGAAAGAACATGTAACATTTCAGGCTAAAGATCCTCCCAGCAAATACGTTCTTTTCATGATGATTACAACAGAATGTGGTGTCACTTTTCAGTCTTACTTGGCAGACTGTTCGCTATTCAGTGAAACACCACAATACAAGGAATTTTAACACCTTACAGTTTGTAGAGCAGCTCCTGTAATCTAACCTTGGTTTACTGTAACTGCAGGTGCTGAATCATATATTTAATTTAAAAAATCGGGTTCACTTTCCGAGGATTACATGATACTAGAAAGATACGATGTGCAGTGCTGCAGTGTGTTAATCAAACACAGACTAATCCCACTCACTGCTGCTGACAATAGCAAATTCCTGCCAGCCCACCTGACGTGCTGTTTGGGCAGTGTCACCACGTGTCCCTGCTGAGCAGGG